CCAACCCTCCTGCCCAAGCAGGGTCACCCAGAGCAGGCTGCACAGCACCGCGGCCAGGCGGGGCTGGAATATCTCCAGAGAAGGAGACTCCACAGCCTCCCTGGGCAGCCTGGGCCAGGGCTCCATCACCCTCAGAGGGAAGAAGTTCTTCCTCGGGTTCAGCTGGAGCTTCCTCTGCTTCAGTTTGTGCCCGTTGCCCCTTGTCCTGTCGCTGGGCACCCCTGGAAAGAGTCTGGCGCCCTGCAGATATTTAGAGGCATTTCTAACGTCCCCTCGCAGCCTTGTCTTCTCCAGGCTGAACAAGCCCAGCTCCCTCAGCCTCTCCTCGTAGGAGAGATGCTCCAGTCCCCTCCTCATCCTCGTAGCCCTGCGCTGGACTCTCTCCAGTAGCTCCTCATCTTTCTTGACCTGGGGAGCCCAGCACTGGACACAGCACTGCAGATGGGGCCTCCCCAGGGCAGTGTAGAGGGGGAGGAGAACCTCCCTGACCTGCTGGCCACACTTTTCTTAATGCACCCCCGTGGAGCTGGTCGCAGCGACGCAGCAACATCTGTGGGGTGGCTTTAGGATGTGCTGTGCCGGCAGCAGCTTCTCCGCTGTGACGTGCTCACGCGGTTCTGTGCAGGTGTCACCTTGCAGCCGATATGCAGACTGTCTCCTTCTCCCTTCCCCCCCACTGTAGAAAAGGTCCATGCAAGCAGAAAACTAATGTTGTGGGCAAGCAGTGCAACTGGATGAAAGCACAAACAGCCAATGTAAACAAGAAGGTATCTTAAACTACTATTAGTAAGTGGTTTTTAACCCCCCAAGTGATTAGGAGATGGATTTTTTTTTTAATTGCTTGTGACTTAAATAAGACTAAATTGATGACAGTACCAATTAGCCCTGTTTTCCGTCTTGTTTTCACCTAGTGCAAATAACTTTGCCATGAAGGGGAAGAGGAAAACACTGAATGCTGGTGATGTCCTCTCTGCCATGGAGGAAATGGAGTTCCAGCGATTTGTAGCCCCGTTGAAGGAGTCCCTGGAAGGTATCGTCCTCAGTTCATGTCGAGGGAGTCTGCATAGCACCGAGTCCTGTTTTCCTCAAACACTGGACAAGCAACACTTACTTGCCTGTCTTGTTTCTCTTCTCTTTGCCCAGCATCCTACCCTACAGGTTGCCTGGGGAATAAGTAATGTGCACCTTAACAGGACTTGAGGATTGAGAGAGTCTCACCTGCTGTCACTCCCCTAGTACGTTTGTCTAAGGAAAGCCTTAGGTGCTGCCTGTAAGCGTGAACTCCTGCGTCCTTTTGAGCATTCTTCTGCTGACGCTTAACGCTATTTCCTACGGAGCTGGTCAGCACAGCTCGGGTAGTAGAGTGAGCTGCTGCTCCGAGTTCGCTGCTCCCGTTGTCAGCCTGGAGAGCAAGTGGCACTGGACTTCAGCTGCTGCACTCTTCATGCCGTGGCAACACCGGCTGGCAGGTTTTCAGTGTTCTCTCTTTCTCAGTTTACAGGCGTGAGCAAAAAGGAAAGAAAGAAGCGAGGAAAGATAAAGACAAGAAGGCAGACTCAGAGGAGCAAGATAAGAGCCGAGAAGAAGAGAATGATGATGATGACGAAAGGATCGAGGAAGAGGAACAAAATGATGAGGAGGAGGTGGACAACTGAGCTTGCTGATGAGATGCGTGCAGGGGCTGGGTTTTGTTCAGAGGGCTATAAACGCTGTAAATCAACCTTGCTGTGTCCCCTCTTGTTTCCAGTAGAGCTTTGTGCTGTTCCTCTGCGGCCCATCCCCTTTTTGGCTTTAACTTGTATGTAAAAGACTTCTGCTAAAGCTTTTCTCGTGGAAGGACTGCTCCTCCCCGTGCCCCGGGGCTTGGCACCCTCGCCGGGCTCTGAACGACCAGCAGCAGGACTGGGCTTTTTATGCTGGGTTGGCTCCGAAATAGAGGAATAAAAGAAATGCCAGGTGCTTGGTGCAGAAGCTGGCCAGGAGAGCTGGAGACACTGTTGAATAAGCTCGTTAAACCGAGTCAGGGGCCGAATCGATCGTTAACCCCTTTCAGCCTCACCGCTCGCGTGCAGCAATACAGGACACAGCACAAGGACCAGTGGCCCCCTCAGTTGCCTCAAACCAACCCAAATCAAAAATCTTCACAGCACTTACGATGTAAACTCCAACACTGAAAGTGCTGCTTCTGCATCTTTAAAGCCCTGGGAGACCAAGAGGAACTTTGTTAAAAACCTGAAGCAAAATGAATGGCTAAAAATGTGTCAGGAAGACCAAAAGTGGCTGTATGAAGTGGTAGCGCTTGTCGCCGGTCAGCAGCGAGGTGGTCTCGTCTCCTTTGCAGAGCTGCAGGTCCTGCAGGCAGGTTGGTGACTGCAGCAAGCTTAAATGTGGCCAAATAGAGCGAGGGATCTTGGTGGGATTTTTTTTTTTCCCAGTTGGAATGGACTAAGTACATGAAAGGTCCCTCTTCAGCCTTGGCCAGTGATTGCAGAGATGCGGGCTGCCTGCCGGTGTGGTGGGCGCCGGGAGGGCAGCGAGGACAGGAGGTTCCTGTCTGGGAAGGCCAGCCTGGCACCTCGGGCTTGTGAAATACCTCCTTCGAGAAACAAGCTGTTTGTATTCCTAGTACTCGTATAGGTTTGTTCTTTTATACTTGAAGTCTTAGTTTTGATGCCTTTCCTTTCTCTTCTCTGAGAAAGTATCTATTAGGATAAGCTAATTTTGGGGAAAAATGCTTTATTATTTGATCTTTTTGAAGACTAATAACCCCAATATTTGGACTAAGCTGAGGTCTGGTGAAGGAAACCTGAGGAAAGTTTTAGGTACCTTGAACTAAAACCCACAAGTTTCGCTGATGTGCAGTTTTAAAATAGCACTTGTGAGGAATGGTGTGTCCTTTTCACCAAAAACCGATGCAGGGCTGCCCGCCAGAGCCGCCCTGCCTTTGTGTGCCTACGGCACGATGGCTTGTCACGCGCAGAAGCCCGGCTCCTGGAACGAACTTGAATCAACAAAGATTTTCTGCTGGCCTACAGTCAGTGACAGATGAAAAGACTGAGTGGATGATGTCTTCCCAAGATCTCCAGTAACAGAAAAGGCCTGACTTCTAGCTCCTTTTCCTCTTTTTTTTTCTTTTATGCCATTCTAATACGTATCTGGGGTGCATATTCTGGAAGGGAACAATATCTAAATAAAAGCCTTTTTTACAGAAGTGGAGTCTCTTATTTCTGTCAGTAATAAAATGATCTGGTTGCGGCTGCAGATCACGGATCTGAGCGTGCAGCAAAGGGAAACTCGCTATGAAATCTCTTACGGAGCAGCTGACAGTGAAGGGAGGATGAAGGCTGCTGCAACCCGGCCTTCGTGTGAGAGAGTCATAGAATAGTTGGGGTTGGATGGGACCTCTAAAGGCCACCTTCAGCCAAAATGGCCGAGGCTCTTCCATCTCAAGAGAGGGAGAGCTGGTCCCAGCGTGAGCCCAAGGGCTGTGTGCTGGGAGCCATGGAGATGGTGACCCCGTGCCCTGGCATGGCTCGGTGCGTTGTGTCAGGGGATGCGCAGCCCCCGGCTT